TGAATGATTGGATAAGCTTTCACTTGTACTGTAACTTGTGAGTTGAAAGTTTCTAATCCATCAAAGAATATACCCGCTCCATCACGTTGAACTGGAATAGTGCATAAGAATGAAGTTTGGTCTTTCCATGTTCTAGCTAATGGCGTGCCATTATCATCATTCAGTGGTCTAGTTAATGAGTCCTCGTATTCTTCCGTGCATTCATTCACTCCATCTAAATCAGAAGCTTGAAGCATACGTGTAAAGAATATGTCACCCACTGTGGTCATCGCTTGATCGGGGAAGTTTCTGGAATCTATAGTGACCTGAAGACCTCGAAGCATTGGATTTTCTAAAACTGTTCTTTGCATTGCATTCTTCGGAAATGTTAACACAACATCTGTAACATTATGAAGAGCGTATGAGAAATCTGAGCTAATACCTTCAGGAGTGATGCAACCTCCATTTAGTGAACGAACGTCAATATGTTGAGCTGGAATCATGAATGGATCTTCCTTACTGAATAAACGTGGTATTGCTTTAACTGATTCTTCAATTAAACCGTATCCTGGTGTAATGCATTTATCCTCTAAAACTTCCATCTTTGTGCATGAAATAATAACGTCATCAACTGTTGCGTCAGCAGATGTAGCGGCTAAGCTTGTAATTAATTTGGCAGGAAGTCCGATTTGTTGGAATTTGCGATCATATTTATAAACATGATTCATAATCTTTTCATAATTTTCATCAGTTATCTTTTCATAAACGTAATTTTGTAAATCAGCAACTCTTAACGGGTCAACCTGACAAAATACTAAAGTATCCCTGAAAACATAATATTTAAGAATGATTTCACCAAATGATTTAGGATAATCATCGAACGCCTGAAATGCTAACAAATCATTTACCGGAATAATCATATCAAAAGTGACATCAACTTCTTCATTTGCTTTCTTGAAAACTTCTGAAGGGTCAATATATTTACCACATACTGAGTTATCATATTTTTGAACATTATTATATAACGAATGAACAAACTTTTTAACTTTCCTTTCTGATTTTGGTTTATATGTTGCAAATGCGAAAGATTCACGGGCGCAATCCATCTGAAGATAACCGCATCACCTCTTTCGGTTTCTACTTCTAATTGTTTAAAGCTTTGATTTGATGATTTGTAACCAACGAATAAACGCATGCATTTAAAAGCGGCATCACATGTGAAAGCTTTATTTGAAACTAGAGTTGCTTTAACTTTGCGTTTAATATATGTGTCACCTAATTGGTTCACATCATGAGCTGGATTTGTAATTCTTAAATGAGTTTGTTTATCATCAAAATATGGAGTCAGAGTCATAGCATGAACTTTCAAGTTCTCTATAATATCTTCTACCGTCATTCTTTGCGAATATTTCATTTATCTTTTCGAATGAATGAAACACATTTCCATTAATCGGTTTAGTGTTTGGCACCAAATAGTTAGTCGTCATTTATTATAAATAAAAAATCAAAATTAAAAGATGAAAATGAATTTTTAATTTTAATGAAATAATCAACTATGGCTGCAGGTATATTTAAGAAACTGTGGGATAAAGTAAAAAGAGGAGCGCATAAAGTTTGGGAAACAATGAAGAAAGGAGCAAATTGGATATTTAAGAATAAAGAAGCAATTAGTGACGTTGCTGAATCAATAACACCAAAAGCCGCCCCAATAAGAGAAATATTAAATAAAGGAGAAAAAGTTTATCAAGACTACAACCGATACTAAGATAAAAATAATATTTATTTATTTTTCCACTATCTACCTCCTATTTTATTAAGTATTCCTTCAGCAATTCCACCAATTGCGTTACCTGCTTGTGCTCCCATCGCTGGATTACCTGCTTTAGTACCTAATACTCCACCTATGATAGTTCCTGCCGTTTTCGCTACTGGTGCCAAAAAGTTTGCAACGGGTTTAATAACCTTTTTATAAACCCAACCTGCAGCTTTCTTAATTCCATCCCATAATTTTTTAAAGAATCCTGCCGCCATTTCTGATTTAATATTAATTAAAAAATATATTTCATCACTTATATTCTAATTTTTATTTAATGATAAATGAAACCAATTTTAAAAATAAATAAAACAGAGGAGGAAGAAATAAATGAAAGTGAAAATGTTCAACAAAAAACAAACGTTGTTAAACCAATTACTGAAATAAAATTTTTTCATCTGTTGAAGAATTTAATGACTATTATGCTAATAATAAAAAATTATTTGAAGAATTGACAACGTGTAAATTGAATAAAATGTTTAAAGTTGATGGATTCAAAATTTCAAAAATAAAAGGAGTGGTTAGTTTGAAATCTATTCCTCAATCAAGAATCACCTCATTAATGAAAATAGATGATTTAACAAAAAGAATAGAAATTATTGAAGAGCGAATAAATCAAATTATTGATTTCATAAATCATGACTCGTTGAGCCCGGGTCCTTAAAGCCCATCACTGAGTTCAAGGTTATAATCATCAAATATTTCATTATTAAATGCAACTTCTGCTAGTTTATTTATTTTTTCAATACGATCATTTGAAAGTCTATCGTTTAATTTTTTCTGAAGTTTTTCATTTTCTAGTTCTGAAACTTTATTTGGATGATATTTAAACTCGTTAAATTCTTTTTCCTCAGTTTTGATCATTAATTTACAAAGAACTTTTGTGGTTGGAATTCGTTTAAACCATTTATCATTAATATTTGTTATAAATTCAATATTCGGAATTAATTCCCAAATTTTTGCATTTTCAATTAATTTATTATCAAATGCAAAAGCAATAGGTTTAATATTAAACTTACCTTTATAATATAAACTTTCTACATAATCATCGAAATAAACATCTACTTGTTTAATATTTTCAAGAATTGGTGAAAGAACATCCATTAATTGATTGACGGTTACGAATCTTGATCCACTCATTTTCTTACGAATTAAAAAAAATAAAAAAATAAATTTAACTTAGTTTTAATTTTACGTAAGAAGTCAATTTTTTAAATCTTGATTTATTCAAAAACGTAAGAATAAAAACCGTAAGAATCATACATTTTTTACTTCATATGTTAAAAAAAATGATACAAAATCGTTCAATATTGTATGAATTCTTACGTTTACAAAAAAAGTCACACAACCCGCATCATATACTACTAATGTTGATAATTTTGTAAAATTTTGAAATATTATGGAATAAAAAATTATAGTAGTGAAATACTATATTGAGTAAGAATAGCTGAACAAAATTTTAAATTTTCATGGGGTTGTAAATCTTATAATAACTAGATGAATAAGGAATGAATCCCAGTATAATGTGCATCATTATATTAAACACTATATGTAAGGCTAATGATTCTATTAACACTTATGAAGATCTATAGTATTTGAGCAGATAAATTTGATAATTTCCAAAACTCTTATATTTCAAAATTAAAGTGTGCGAATGCATTTAAATGAGAGCAAAAAGAGATTGATGCTGTTAAAACTAGGTGTTAATTTGCAATTATTTCGCATCACAAGAACTACCCAGTAAATTCGGCTATCTTTCTTTGCAATTATTCTCCATTATACATATAATATAATGGTTAGGGTTTGAAGAAAAGTTACTAGAGAATTATTGACTTTTGAAATAATGCAGAATTTTACTTGAAGAACTCATTAATTTATGAGTTCCAAATTGCTAAGCATGACGAAGGATCATTAAATTTGCTACAATTAAATACACTTATTGCAGAATTAAGATTTTTGAAATTAAAAGTTTGAAATATTGCCTTTTTGAATAAAAATTTAAATTTTATTATATAATCATGATAATATCTTATAGAAATTAAAAGAAAATATTTTAAACCATTCAAATATTTTGAATGTCTTATCAATTTAAAATATTAAAAGATAGCTTGATTTTATCATCATTAGTTGTTATCAAAGTTTTCTTCTTTTGATGAACAACAGTAAATGATTTGTTAATTACTTGTCTTCCTTTTTCGCAGCAAAATCGAAAGTTATGATGATAATCTTGCTGTCAATTTTGAAACTCTCTGATTTACAAGTAAGCATTCCTTTGGAAAAGCAGTCCTATTCTGTTTTCAAGATATTTTAAAGCCTCCATTTCATACAATGCGCAGATCTATTCGAAATTGCAAGAACTCTCAAGAAAAATGCAGCAGCAAAGAAGATTCCATAGTTTCTAGCATCAGAAATTTACAACCTTAATACAACAGTTAAAGAGAAGCTCGAAAAGAAAATATTTAACCATAAAACTGGAAACCATTCGATATCTACTATTGGATCTAATAAAAAGTTAATTATAACATATTTAACATGCTATTTGTTGACTTTGTTCCATTATATTACCATATATATCTTTTTGAAATCTAAAATATTTTTACGATTTTAACCATGTGTTGTTGAAACCATATATCAATCTTAGCTAAAGTATAGTTTATGAGTCTGTCACCATCTAACGTATGAATTTTCAAAAATGTCAAATATGTTCATTTTTTCTGTAGATTCAGCCATAATTTCACGTTGTTATACTATTCAACTATTATTTAATATTTTTATCGATTTAAATATATGATGAGATGCTTAGTTCTCCCGGAAATCGATTTTTAATCGCAATTTTAACTTTCCAAAAAAAATTCAAAAATAAAAATCCCTCTCAATTTTCTAAGTTTTATAACTCGCCAAATCTCTAGCCAATTTTTTTTTGGCCCGTATAAATATTGTTAGGCACTATATAGGGATGCTATTTATCCTATTTTCATCCCATTTTACTGTTATCGCCTAGTGAATGTACCTTTAGCTGAACAAAATTTTGATGGCTCTCAAATCTTCGACTTAACGTCAATTTACAAAAATGAATAAAACTAAGAAATAATTTCTTTTTATCCTATGAATGTTTTAAAAATCATCAAAAACGAAACTTTTTTGTTCGAATAGTTTTCGCTTTTTGAGAGCTACAAAGAAAAATTTATAACATTAGTTTTAAACTTCGATGTGCAAAGAAGCAGACGAAACTCCAAAGCAAGAGAAGAAGCCAGCCTCACAGCCAAAGGCAGAGTCTAAGCCAGAACCAAAGCCAGAGCCAAAACCAGAACCAAAGGAAGAAACACCAGCTCCACCACCAGCCCCAGCTCCAACTCCAGTTCCTCCACCACCAGTTGTTCCAGCTCCAGCACAGCCAGCTCCACCGCCACCAGCTGATAACAGTGATTCAGACGTCTCAACAACATCTACATCATCACCAACATCAACAACCTCATCATCTTCATACTCATACACCTCATCATCTTCTTCCTCAAGCTAAATTACAGATATATTATATTTTTAAATATTTGCCAAATATATTTATTATCAAACTTTATTTTTCTTCTTTTTTTAATGAGTTCAGCTCTCCAAAGATCTTTTCTGCCTTGAGATGAGTAAACAGTGAAGGATATGGCCGATAAAAATCGACTTTTGGATGAATGAAGTCATGAGACTTTAACTGATTTATTTATTTTCAATTTTGTGACTCTTTTATAGCATATTGGTTATGTTATGACGAGTGATTTCTAATCTTGCGATTTCGTATAAAATTCCGATAGATGTCACTTTTTGAGAAGATATCGATTATTTTATAGATCAGCATTTCCATCATTAAAATGTGCGAAATTCCAGGCTTTTAAAAATGAGCTTAACATTACAATTGAGAAAGGACTTTTCACAAAATCAAAGTGTGAACCCGATGTAAATCCCATTATTTTGTTACATTATGTTTGACTGATACTCATATTATCAGTTTCGTACATTATTTCATATCATCGGCAGAGATAAATTTTACAAAATCTGAAAAAAGATCAAAACAACAATAATATTTTAAAAAATAACAAACAAAAATGAAGAAAAGTAAAATCTACACATGATAATGCGTAATCGGACGTGTTCGAGTATGAGATCGAGTTCTTCCAGGAAGTTTCGACAAAAGTAGAACAATTGAATGGAACTTGAACACCAAAACATAAATTATCGAAGCAATGCCCGCTAAGTATAGCAAATAAGGCAAATAATTCGTTGATGATGAAAGTTTCAGAGACTTTTCATCGATGCATGCGTCTCCTTGCTTTCCAATTGTGTTTGGCTTTGCGTGCTCTCCAATAAGCTGGCAATTCTCCGTTTGAACTCCTGATGAAATCAAGAATTTGATTAAATCATAGTAGCAGTCCTTCATAAATATGGAAATGGTCGGTCCAGCACTTGGCCCTGTCAAATATCCTTTATTTCTCTCAAAATAACAGGAAGATAAAACAGTATTCGAAGAAAACACGAGTAAGTTCGATTGTGCTGTGTTACTGTTAGCGATGAAGTTTGTGTGATCGATTGTAACAGGATGAGGTGTAAAGAAAAAGTCCAAAATCGAGATTGAAACACAATCTTGAATATTAGAGTAAGAAATCAAAGAAACTGAAGACTTTTGTGTACTAATTGCTGCAGCTCCACGAGTTGTTATTGATTTGGAAATATTTGCTTCATTAAAAGAAATAACTCCATTTTGAAAATGATTTCCATTCTGATTCATTCCACGTTTGTATTCTGAGCACAACGCAATAGTTGTATGCGAAATATTGACTTGAACACTCTCATCTATGCATGAAATGTAGTTTGCTTGTCCATTATCAGTTGTATTGCAATTTAGGAAGCAGATATTACTTAGGATCATCTTTTTAATTAATCCGTAAATGGCTCCTCCGCTTTCTGAAGAACTTGAATTTATAAATCTTGTTTCTACGCAAGAAAATGTACATGGAGAAATGATTGATATTGATCCACCTTTTCCTTTGGAATAGCAATTGATAAAAGATGTTTTGGTGACATCAAGTTCTGTAGAAGTCGTTTGAAATTTTGAATTTTGAATCATATTCGATAATGATTATGTATCAACACGAACAACAGAGTTCATGAAGTTATTAAATTTCGAATTAACAATTTTTGTGTAAGATTTTTGATTATTAAGGAAAAAAGCGTGATTTTCAGAAAATGAAAGACGAAAGTTGGAAAATATATTGCGAGTGCTTTGATAACTATGTGGTTGAGTGAAGTATGGTGAAATTGTTTTGATGTTGGCAATAGTCAGGGAGTAAATTGATAAATTCATTTTTTGTGGATGTCACTTTTTCTACCGAAGTTAATCGTAAATTCATTTTCCAAAAGAAGCAGCCCACAATAGAGCTTAAACTATATAATAAATTGCTTTGATTAGAAATAATCAAGCGTATTGTAAGCAATATTCATGATTCATATGAGAAATTTAATGATTTGAGCAAAATTGTAGTAGAACGAAGCTGAATAATGTTGCCACTGTGTAACATGTGCAGATTAAAGCAGTTAATTGATGTTTGATTGCTGAAAAATCATAAAATGAATCAAAATTTTCATAAAATTTTATATAAATCAATTTGAATTGAAAATAATCGTTAATTATGTTAGATGACGTCGAAATAGAAGGAATAAACCAAAACCGGGGCTGGAATATGTCCAGTAATAACATATTCATTACTATCTTAGTCACATCGATTGCTGCAACCTTTGTTGTTTTTCAATTCTTCGAAAGCTGGTCTTCATTCAGGGCATTGCAATGGATTCTTGTATTCCTTAGTGTTTTCTTTTACTTTGTTACATATTGGTCCGACTTTAAGTCGCTCAGCAGCATTTCTTTTAGTCTGACTATATTTTGTTCAGCAACATTGTTCTTTACAATGTGTTTATCACTGTTTTTATGATTACTTTAAATGGTCTCATTGATCATATATTGTTACTATTTACTATTTTAAAAATAAAATAATAAAATTCTATCTTATTTTAAAGATATATCGTTATGCCTTTTATAAATTTACTGTTAAGTTATGTTTGACTCATAAATTCAAATATCAGACTTTTATATGATAGATTTACAGATAATATAAGGTAAACTATTAAAAATACAATAATTTAGTAAATGTATTCAAACAATTTTATCACATAAAACAAGGATTATTGTTTTCTAGTTGAATTTTGTAATTGTTCTAAAATTTGTTCAGCTTCAGCAATTTCTGCTTTAAGTTGTTGAACTTCTATCTCAGATATGGCTGCAGTTCTGGTAAGTGTTTCCACTCTTTGCCTGAGTATTTTATTTTCAGTTACAACAGGATTTGTTGTGGTTGGAACAGCTTCTGGATTTGTTTCATCAACCCACTTGCCATTGTTGGAAAATTCTATTTCGTTTCTGTTAAGCCTGATAGTAAATCCGGTTTCATCAGGTGCAACTCTTCCTCGAGGAAATGCTCCAGTTAATGCTTTTTTCTTCCAGCAATACTGGCGGAGTTCTGGAAGTGTTGGATGCTCTTTTGCGCAATTTAAAACATTTGCTTGATCATCATAATTCATATCTAAAAAAAATTAAAAACTGACAAATTTTATAATAAACAAAAAAAAGGTAGTCCCACGAAGAATCTAAACGACAGATTTCCAAATAAATAAGATAAATAGAATCAGTAGGTTCCAAATATGAATGATATGATCTTAGTTTGAAAAGTTACTAAAAGAATAAAAAGATTTGTGAATTACGTTTTAATTTCCATAATTTTTATCAATTAATTATCACGTTATGATTTACATATCAAATTTAATTTCAAATCTAAGTAAATATCAATATTCATTATTTGTTATTCAAATTTAAGTATAATTAGAGCTTTTGAATAAAACCATAATATTCCCAGCTTACATGATTATAGTTTATTATGTAATATCCGGTTTATCAGGGAAATAATAGATTTGAATTCTTACTTTTGAGGATTTGACTGAAAATAGTATAATGATAATGGATCACTACAGAATTATTTTATATTCAATAAACCATTTTGCGTAAATGGTGGTTCTTATCATCTATCAAATTTCGTAAGAAGTCTCTTAAAAATCTTAGAGTTCTTCAAGAAACGATCATGTTCAAGATACATGTCGAGATGCTTTAATAAAATTAATCATAAATCGAAGCAAAACATCACATTTGTTAATAATTTCAAGTAATATATAAAATTCAAGATTATAATGTCTACTGAATGCTAACAAAAACGAACAAAATCTCATCTCTTGACGAGAACATTAATATGATGCAGTTTTTTGTTTAGATCTAATATAAAAATGAATAAAAACTTTACTTTTACACTTTTCATTCAAGTATTTTACTAATATAGATCATGCTTTATCAATGCTTAGTACTATTCTTTTTAGAGTAAAGGATAATAAGAAAGATATTTGTGATTTAAAATAATTTTTTAAAATTCACCTTTAACTCATCACTCTGAGAGATGTAAAAAGCATTCGCATTACTCATTCTGCTTAATTGATCAACTCAAAATTCCAAAAAAATTTCAAAAAATCAAAAATGTGATTTTTCTCTTGAAAAAATTAATTTTCAAAAAAATTTGGAAAATCAAAGTATTGTATAATTAATCAAATCATCAAATGGAATCGTTTTTACTCATAAAAAACATCTCATTTTTGATTTGGATATCATATTTATTAAAAACTCATTCTATAGTTGATGCAATGTCATGATTGCTGTTGAAAATATTATTTCCATAACAAAATTCTTATTTTAAGATAGTAAAATAATAAAGTTTTTATTTCAACAACAACAAGTAAATAGATGAATGGAAACGTACTATATTCGCATAAATGTAGTAACTATCATCTATATTTGAGTTATGACTATTCCAATCAAAATGTATAAAATTGAAATCAGAAATATCAAACAATTATATTCGGTACTGTGCATTCATTATAGAGGTCATCGTAATTTATAAGTAATTTATATCTAAAAGCCGACTTTTTTTTTCTTATTGCAATAATTTTCTCAAATTTTAGTAACTTTTTCTATATTCAAGTTATTTGAATATGTATCATGAGCGACGTAAGAACTCAAAATTACGAGGAATTCTGTCGTTGCATTTTCGAGATGTAAAATTTCGATTTTTAATATGGGGATTTGGCAGGTGCAATCTTGATGTTATCTCCATGTAGAAGTACTATTGCAATATAATTAAAATTAACGAAGTTGATTTTAAATTGCATAATGCTGGGGAATAACTGACAATACAACTAAGTATACTATATAAGATAGTTGCTAATTGGAGTAATAAATTAGGCTCCACCAATCATTTCTTTCATCTCTGCCATAACGAGCAGAAAAGAAGCGAACAGTAACCCTAGGAAAAAAGAAGAAGGGTGTCACTTTTCGTGGGACTACCTTTACAAAAAATATTATCATAATAATCATAAATAATCATTAGTATGATAATTACACTTTCATTCCATTTTTAACAGGCTTCACGCCTGTATAAAAACGCAATAAAAGTGTAAATTTCAACTCATTGAGCTATATCCTAGCAGTGCTACTAATCCCACATGGCGTTTTCCCTTCCTATCATCATGCGTGATATTAGCTTTCTCCCTTGGAGGGTTATTGCTATTATCATTGTCGGGATTATTAAAATCATCCCATTCATCATAATTTGGTATTTTGAAATGTAGTGGCGAATTAGGAGGATTACCTATGGAAATGTCACCGATCATTGACACTCCACCTTCATCAATATAAGCTCCAAGAATTCTTATATCGCCGGAATAAGTTGTCACTCCTTTTCCGTGTATAGTGCACGCCAAAAGTCCAGTATACAAACCGATTGTTTGATTGAAACAATAATATGTAATATTATGGTTATCAAAAATATAAAAATTCTGAATTAAAAGAACCGAATATTGAATCGAAAACATAATTGTTTGTTCAGCATCTGATATAAATGTATTATTGTTGACAACAAATGCATAAAATCCTGTTGATTGTCCTAATACGCTTTGAACTCCGCCATCGATATTATTTTCTATATATGTATAGTTTACCCAAAAGTCTCTGCTTCCTTGTGTTCTAAGAAATCAATCTTTTTTGCAATGATTATTAGAAAAATTCAAATAATTGAAAAAAAGGAAACCAAATTTCAAAAAAAGTGTTGACTTTCCATCTGTTGTTTGGTCTGCATTATGAATAATTGTGGAAAATAAGAAACAATTGATACTATCACTTGAATCTTTGCATACGTTATAAGCTATAGTTCCTTCTTTATTTGATCCGAACATATTGGAATTTGCTATATGGCATTTACTAAATACAATACTATCGCCGTAGAAGTAAATGGATCCACCTTGAACGTTATCTGAGGAAGAACAATCGACAATTGAAGTTGATTCAAATAGAATTATTGGCTTATCCTTATATGATATATATGCAGCTCGATTTTTTAATTGTGAAAAGGATGAATCTGAAATGTAATAATTTTTTCCATCTGTCTTCGAAAACAATGAGTTTGGACTTTTTATTTCGAGATATGTGACTGATGGATTATAATAATTATCCCATTCATAGTTTAATCTTAAAATAGTAAAAGAGTGCATGAAATAATATGATTTATTGAAATACATGGTGGCATTTCAAATTTTTTGAATGATACTATTACGATAGGATTTTAAAAAAAATCAAATATTATTATTAGCATACTTCTTATCAATTATTTCTGATCATAATCCTTTCAATTTTATTTGAATTATGTGTCAAATTTGATCCACCTACAATAATAATAATTTATAAAAAGAAAATGGTTTAAAAGTTAACCATATTTCATTGATAAATCTTTTGCATAAAATTTACATTCAATTAAAAACCAATTGGCATTCAATTGTATAAACTTATGTAAAATTTATTATGATTTAATCATTAATCAATGATAAATAATTTTGTGACTTTTTATATAAAAATGTCTCATAATTGAATTTTGCTGACTAATGTCTTTTTCTACATGTTTAGTTATGATCAATAAATGTATTCTCCAAATTAAGAGTAAATATCAGTTCTGTACTTTTGAAAGATCCATAAATTATTAAAATTGCTAAATCACATGACGATATTTCTTTCAATATTCATTATATACATGGCACGATGGGCGCTACTTTTTTGGCGCCAGCGGCGCCGCCCACGCCTCTGGTGGCTCCCACTGGTGGGGAGGAGACGATAGAAAAAGATATAAATTTTACTAAAAAACTTGAATTTTGGAAATTCTTTTGATTTTTTTGAATGATTTACGAAGAGATTGAACACATTTTGTACTATGAAATATCGTTATTAATAAATTTACTTCTTAAACATCTATTCAAATCGCAATTTTGAATATTTTTATGATTTTTTTTGACCCGTTCACTTGCGCCCGCGCCCACTGGGAGGGGCGCTTGTAAAGTATTCAAAAATCAATGTAAACATTTCAATTTTTGCTCCCACCTCCCATTGGGAGGGGGGCATATATCTTGTAGCGTTCAAGTTCAAGTGATGAAAGTGCATAAGAAAGCTCCTTAATCATACCGATAGAAACAGCATTAGGGGCGCCAAATGGCGCTCGGTGATGTTTCCCATAAAAGCTTAATTTCAGGTATCCATAATCATAACCTGTCAGACGCAATAATTCATTAGCACACAATCATCGTTTCTCAATCAAGAAACGAAACGCACGATTGATTATGCTGGCCATTAAATTTTCATATCAAATAATTTACTACTTCAAGAAAAATTAAAGACTATCATCAACCAAAGCTTAAAATTCTCAGTGTTTACAACTCTCATACTTCGAATATGCATATTTCCAAAATAGCATGAAAATTTTTTTCATTTGAGCTCATTTTCTTTTGTTCTATTAACTAATACATGCAGTACAAGCTTGTTATACGTATACTTAATAAGTAAGGTCTTAAGGGAAATAATAAAAAAGAATTTTGCTATTAATTATATTAAACAATATTTATTTGTAATTTCGTGATAATTATATTTCTTATTACAAAGTAAAGGTATTTGATATAATGTTTGCCTTACAAAAATGTTTCCTTTGTCTTGCCACCATAGGTATTCTATTTTGTCACTTTTTGCGCCCGCCGTGCCATGTATAATTCATTATTTTATCTATTATGGTTTAAAAAAAATCCTTAGACGAATAACAAATTTTGAAACTCCTCAAATAATCATATTTGACTTATTGTTATCGATTTATTGGAATCGAAAAGTAGATATTTCGAAGATTTTCATTCAAACAACGTAAAAATTTAAAATTTAAGATGCAGAGATGGACAGCTAATAGAATGATGTAATTTAGAAGTGTACTTTAGCAAGAAAATGCTAACCTTTAGATCAGTTTTCTGAAAAGAACTAAATCTGATGAAATAAATTTTTTTGCTCTTACAGAGGATAATTAATTACTCGGTGTTGCATTCTTGTGATAATAAATGAATAACAGAAACTTGTAACTAGAAAAAAGGAAAATAAAAATGATGAATTTAAAAAATTCGTTGCATGGTCACTAATTTTATATCTAAGATACCAAAGTCTGGATAAATAGACCAAAATTGTGTGCTTTATTGGATTGAAAACACAAAAAACAATGCATCGTATTTTTATGTTCCCAGGAATACGATTCTTGATATTTTGGTAATATTAGATGATAAATGATGGGCTAAAATAGCATAGTTTTAAAAGTATTCAAACTGATATTAAGCATTTCTCCAAAAACTCATCAAATTTATTGGCTGAACAAAATGACGATATAAATTTGATCGAATATCCACTATCTCTCATTTAATATTAATATATAAATCCTGAATTATTGAATGCGATAACTTGTTATCCTACTTTTGAGTTCAAGTTTACGGTTTTCAAAAACCGCTACATGATATCACTTCACCTGTACCAACTCAAATTAATCAAATAATAAGAAAATCTCCACATTGTGATGTGAAGTGAAGTCAATCATTGTTCTCCTCACAAAATTCAAAGGTACCCCATTTATTGGCAAAATATAATAATCATATAATGTGATGGAAAATCTATATCTTTTATATTCGATGAAAATTTAATCCAGAACAATTTTACACATTTTTCATCGTTCTATCGGTTTTTTGACATTTCAAAATAATGCAACCAGAGAACATTGATTGGAAGACACTCGGCTTTGGCTACGTTCAGACAGAATGGCGTTACATCGCTCATTGGAAGGACGGCAAGTGGGACGAAGGAAAGCTTGTTGACACCCCAATGCTTACAATCCACGAAGGATCTACAGCTCTCCACTACGGTCAGGAATGCTTTGAAGGCCTCAAGGCATACCGCTGCAAGGATGGATCCATCAACCTCTTCCGCCCAGATCAGAACGCCCTCCGTATGCAGAAATCCTGCACACGTCTCATGATGCCACACGTTTCCGTCGAAATGTTCATCGACGCTTGCAGGAAGGTCGTCAAGGCTAACGAAAAGTGGCTCGCCCCATACGGCACAGGCGCATCTCTCTATCTTCGCCCATTCATGATCGGTGTTGGTGCAAATCTTGGTGTTAAGCCAGCTCCAGAGTACATCTTCTCTGTCTTCTGCTCACCAGTCGGCGCCTACTTCAAGGGCGGCCTCAAACCAACAAACTTCATCGTCACAACCTATGATCGCGCTGCTCCACAGGGCACAGGCGCTGCTAAGGTCGGTGGCAACTACGCTGCTTCCCTCCTCCCAGGTTTCGACGCCCACGACAAGAAGTATGGCGACTGCATCTATCTTGACCCAGCCACACACACATACATCGAAGAAGTCGGCTCCGCAAACTTCTTCGGCATCACAAAGGACAACAAGTTCATCACACCACTCTCCCCATCCATCCTTCCATCCATCACAAAGTACTCCCTCCTCCACCTCGCAAAGGAGAGACTCGGAATGGAGGCAATCGAAGGATCTATCCGCATCGACAGCTTAGACCAGTTCAAGGAGGCTGGCGCTTGCGGCACAGCTGCTGTTATCTCACCAATCGGCGGAATCAAGTACGGCGACAAGTTCCACGTCTTCTTCTCTGAGACAGAAGTCGGACCAATCACACAGAAGCTCTACAACGAACTCGTCGGAATCCAGTACGGTGATATCCCAGCTCCAGAAGGCTGGATCGTCAAGGTCTAAATTTGTCCTTGCAACTCTCGGATCTTAAATAGTGCAATTGAGTAAAAAATTTAGATTGAATGATATTCGGACACTATTTTTATTTTTTATCAAATATTTTTTTAACAAATTCAATATTTAGATTAATAAACTCTTTTAACATCAATGATTTTTGCTTGGATTTGTTAGATTTTTAGAATTTGTTTTTATTTTTTTATATTTGAATTTTTATTATCGGAATGAGTAAAGCAAAGTCAATTCAAAATTCAGCCAAAAATGATCAAGCAAGTATCCTGAAGACTACGAATCAACGATTTGATATCATCTCAAATAAAATAGAGAAATTATTAAATAATCCAAAGTTAAATCAACAATATAAATCACAATTACTTGCACAATTATCCAAGACTAAGCAATTAAAGATAAATGCGGAAGAAAAAATCAAAGAAAACAATACAAATTCCACTGATTACGTTAATAATTCTATTGACTCTTTAAAGAATAGTAATGATTTCGATAAAAATCAACCAAATAGTTATGATGATGCTACTTCTGATGAAAAATTTGAATCAATGAGCTCACCATTTGAATATGAAACGAAACAGCAAATACAACCTGAACAAAATGTTAATAAAACTACTATAGATGAAATAACTAACCAAGTTTTCCAATTACAATCAAAGATTGACATTATTAAATCTCAAAATGATCAATTGAAGCTACAAATTCTAGATGAAAAGGAAAAATCCGAGAAATTAGAAAAAGAAAACCAAAATCTTAACGAACTGAATGATAATTTCAGATATCTTAATGAAAATCTTCAAACTCAAGTTCAAGAATTGAATGAGCGTTTGAAAGCATCAGCGATAGCTGTGGAAACTTCAATAGATACTAGTTCTTACGACAAACAAATTAAAAAGCTGCAAGAAGAGAATGATCAGCTCAAAATGCAACTACAAGCAAGTCAAGAGCAGATAAAGCAGTTTTCTCAGAATTCGCAGAACTTGGAGTCACTTTTTATCCAAGTAAAAAAGAAATCAGAAATAATTGCAAAGAAGAATGTTCATTTGAAGAAAATGCTTTCAGAGTCACAGTCTATGCTTGAAAATAACTCTAAATTTAATGAAATTGAGAACAAAGTTAAAGAATTAGAAAATGATAACTCAAAATTGAAAGAAGAGAATGCCACATTGCGATCTCAGTTAGGACTTGATGAAAGTAAAAATGAGAGAAAGAAACTAGAGTTAATTGAGAGTTTAATTGAAACATCAAAGTCAATGATTGATAGTGATGATATTAGCTTTTCTGATGAAGAAGGAAACCAATCTAATGTATAATTGTTTTGTTTTTTTACTAAACTATTCTTGTTTATATTAGCAATTCAATAGATTTTTCTATAAACAGTGTGATAAGATGGATTACCATAGAAATTGATATGTTCTGTAAGAATGAATATTATGATTCTATAATAATTCTAGTATTTGCCAACAATTTAAAGATTCCAAACATTTCATGATGGATTCTGTTCTTTTGAATAAGATATTTGGTGAAAACATGATGAGTTATTTATATTAAGGCTTCTAATTTGTAATATATAATGAAATTTTTGATAAATCAAATTAATTTTGCAGCATAAAGGGTAGTTTAGGCTGAAAATAATTTTTATTCAATGAAATCTGCTCAATGCATTATTTTCTCAACAAAATCTAGATCTTGTCTTTTCCCTCAAAATCAAAATCTCCTAATGACACGCGTTATTGCAACAACTGTCAATGGAATTAAAACATTTCACATCACAGCAGAAAAAGCAACACCAGATTACTACGGCCAGCGTGCGAATAGAAAAATTGGTACACATGCATCACTGAAAAATAAAGTCGAACTTATTGCTGAATTTGAATTTTCAGGAAGTTCAAGAAATATCGATGTTACATCAGATGGCATGACTCTTGCCGTTTCTGGAGAGTATCCACCCGTTATAAAAATCTTCGATCTTGTAGATTTATCACAAGTTACATTATATTCACTTAAAGGAATGCCTTCTCATTTTCAATTCTTATCAGACGATTGGGCCAAGCTAGTTTCATTAAGACCAGACCGAAAATTAGATTTCTATAACAAAGGTGGTGATCTCTTTTCAGTGCCATTACCATTCCGCTGCCGTCACTTCGCATATGCAAAGCCTACAGCCAACCTATTTCTTGCATCAGAAGAATCTCAATTACTTCGTTTGAATTTAGAACTTGGCCAGTTCATAGAATCAGTCCACACTGGTCCCAAAGTTGCTAACAAAGTATGTATTTCCGAAGAATACCAAATTATCTGCGCTGGTTTCGAAACTGGCGAAATAGAATTTTATGATCCACGTGATGCATCTCGTGCTGCCGTTGCATCAGTTGACCTTGGCTCAGAGATTACCCAGCTTGCCTTCGACAAGTCCGGACTGAAGCTTGCCGTTGGTTTAGCTAACGGAACAGTTCCATTGATGGACATCCGTAATTCTAACCCTGTTTTCACTTACTCCCACAGAAACAACAGTCCGATCAACACAGTCTGCTTCCATCCATCTGGAAAACTCCTCTCCTCCGACAAAAGAGGCTGCAGAATCTACGATGTCGACACAGGAAACTTCTTCACTTCCTTCGAGACAAAAGCAGCTCTCAACCAAATCTGTCCTTACCAGAACAGTGGCCTTATCTTCGGCACAGTCGAGACAGAGCGTGTTCAGGTCATGCTCATCCCAGAGCTTGGCCCCGCACCTCGCTGGGCATCATTCCTCGACAACGTCATCACTGATGTCGAAGAAGAAAAAGAGAATGGAACGGAAATTTTCCAGGACATGAAATTCATCACAAGAGAGGAAATAGAGAAGTTCGACATGCACCACCTCATCAAGTCAAGCGTGTTGAAGCCTTACATGCACGGTTTCTTCATCCCAAGAGAACTCTACAGACTCATCACAGATAAATCTGGAGGAGCAACAGACGGAGACTACCAGAAGTGGGTCAAGAACATCAGAACAATCAGGGACGAACAGAAGCAGCAGACAAAGATAGCTCCAGAAAGGAAGCAGAAGAAGAGAGACCAGGGAGACTTGGAGATCACGGACTACGACAGCAAGAGACAGGCAAAGAAGAAGAAATTGGCTCAACAGGATCCTTATTACAAAGAATAGAGATAGTAATTAATAGAGGTAAAGAATTTTTTTATATATTTTTTGATTTATAAGAGCAGAATATTTTTCCCATAATAATGTTTTTAAGTTAGATTTTACTATAAATATAGTTTCAAGCAGGGCATAATGATATTAAAATGGAGAAAGAATATCAAATATAATTTTATTAATTAGTCTTAACTAAGGATGATGGGGCTATTTCTTGTAAATTTAGTTGGATATTTAGAGGCCCCTTAGAAGAATTTATTTCATTTTCAGATGGAAAAATTATTTTGTAAAAAATCATGATTTAAAGTTAGCCTATGTAAAAACCATTTGTGTATTAATGTATAACTGTAAATAGACTTTTATAAAATGAATAACTAAAGTAAAAAATAAATATATTTTGAGGATATTGAACAAATTTAGCAAGAACACTTGCTTGTTTCTTCCTTCTCCACAACCCTCTTCTTAGCGCGTTTATTAGTTGTTCCAAGCGTTGTCAATTTATGAGCGAGAGCTGAGAAGAGTTGTTTGACGCCTTCGCCTGAGCAAGCAGAGGTAGAAGTAATATTAAATCCTCTAGTCTTTGCCCATTCGGAAGCTTCGTCGAACGGAATATCAATAGAATCTATTAAGTCGCATTTATTTGCGGCGATTGTAATCACTGTATCTGTACCAGCAATCTCAGTAAATGTTCGAATCCAGGTTTCAAGATGCTCAAAAGACTGTCGACATGTCTGATCATATACCGCCACAGCAGCAGCTGAGTTCCTAAAGTAAATAGGAGCTAAAGATCTGAACTTTTCCTGGCCGGCAGTATCCCATATTTGCATCTCTATTTTCTGGTCGTTGACTTCCTCACAATATAACTGATAATTTGCACCAACTGTTGACTGTTCGTACTGATTAAATTTGTTTTCTATGAGATGATTGAGGATTGATGTCTTACCTACTGCCGAATCTCCAATTACAACGACTCGGCAGTGAAGAACGTCATCATCAGCTTTCATTGTCAATTTTTCTTACCTGCCGTAACCATGTAAGATCAAGAAAAAGACGATAAATTATACATGAATATTCATAAGTAATATTTGAATAGAATAGTGTGAAAATAAACTTTTTCAAACTTCAATTTGATCAATTTGAAACTGTTATTCGTTCAAAAAGAATTTTAAGAAGTATTTATAATGTGTGTGATGAAACTCAGATTAATAGGTAAAACAGATTATTTTTTTCAAAAAAAATAATAACAAATAAATTTTATTTTTGATAAACAGATAACATAACTTTTGAAACAGCATCTTCTACGGAATCATATTCTCCTATCATTAATATCTTCCTTAAATTCTTGTCTGTCTTAATTAATTTGTCCATTTCGTCTTTAACATTATTAACTATTGTTTTCAGGCTATTATCGTCTAATTCGCAGTGTGCATCAAAGAAAGATTTGAATTGTTGAGCAACAAATCCAATGATCTTTCTCTTTTCTCTATTGAAATTACTTTTATTTTCATCAATTACGTTTTGATAGTGCATCTCTTGGGAAAGAAGTGTCGCGCGTGTCTTCATGTCATTTATCCTTATCTGGCGTTGGCACTCGTCATTGGCCATGGAAACACGCGATTTCAAGTCATCAATTTCTAGGCCTTGTTCGACCAATTTTTGTGTCAAATCCTGGATTCTGTTTGTTGCTTCTTTCAAAGCATTTGAGCTTTCTTCGTGGGCTTTGATAACATCATCGCTCTGCTGCTTGCATTCTGAGAGTCTTATCTCGTAGGCCTTCTTCATTTCGTTCTTTTCCACTTGGAAGTTGTCCCTCAAAAGTTTTTCGTTGTTTTCGTTTTCTTCGACAATTTTTCTGATTGAATCTTCGTGGGATTTCTTGATTTCAGGGATTTCGTTGACTTTAGACTGCAAACTATTGTTTGCTTTCTCGAGATTTGCTATTTTATCTCTCAATGATGAGATCTCATTTTGTTTATTCGCCATTGAAGTATAAATTTTTTTCTCTTTCTGGTCGAATTTTTGAGAAACATTTTGGATTTCTTTTTGATGAGTAAATCTTAGTTTGTTCAGCTCTTCTTCGTAGTTCTGTTTAGCTTCTTCTGTTGTCTTCTGCAGTGTCTGTATTGTTTTGTTGTTTCTATTTATATTTTGCTTCAAATCTTCATTTTCTTGTTTAATTTTTTCAATTTTTTGATTTAATTCATTTATTTCATTGTTCTTCTGTATCAATTCAGCATCTTTGGATACTTCAATAGATTTAAATACCTTCTTGCACTTGCTTGCATTGGATTTCTCTTTCTTTATTTCGTTTTGTAAATTTGTCACTTTTTGAATTAATTTTTCAATCATTTCCAAACTTTCTGTTTCATTATTTACTTCCAACTTTGTGTATATTGTTTTGAGTTGAGTCTCTAGTGTCTTATTAGATACAATAAGGTCTGTATTATCTGTTAGCAGCTTCGAAATCTTTCTCTCGAGTTCCTTTGTTGCGTAAGGATCATTTAAAACTGTTTCTCCATTTATTTCGCTCATTTCGAATAAATTTCCAATTTTTGTTGCGAAATTGTCAATTGACTCTTTGAGTTTCCTGTTCTCTTCTGTGACACTCTGCTTGCAGTCTTCCTGCTGCTTAGATTGGTTGTTGTAAAACAGTGCAATCTGCTCCAGAATGTTCTTTAGTTTTGTTTGGTTGTCAAAATTTTCTTTTTTGGCGATCGGAGCCAATTTCGTGCACAAATCTCTTGGAAATCCTTCGTTGAAGAAAGCTGTGGCCGGCAACTTGATTTCTTCTGGTGTTTTTGATAGTTTTTTTTGCAATTTATCTTTAATGTCTTCGAATCTTTCCTTCAAAAGTTTCTTTTCGTTTGTTTCGGCTTCGATTTGTTCTTCCATGGCGGAAATTGCTTTGTTTTGTTTCTGGACGATGTTTACGAGTTTGTCTCTCTGTTCTGATAGACTCTTCTGGTCTTTGCGGAGTTCTTCTTCGTTGTCCTCTAATGCTTTGATTGAAGACATCAGCCTTTGTTTGTCTGCCTGCAAAACAGTGATTTCTGTCTGAAGTTGCTGAATCTGGGCTTTGTTTGACTCGATTTTGGCATCATACGTGTGGATTTGATCTTCTACGTTACTCTTCTGGAGCTTCAGTGTGGAGTTTTCGAGGCGGAGGGCATCGATTTGAGCTGAAACATCTGAAAAATCTTTTTGTAATTTGTCAAATTTCTTTTTTGAGGATTGGAGTTGAGTTTCAAGTGTTTTGTTTTGGGAATTCAATGACTCCATTTGGGATTTCATTGTCATTATGTTGTAATCCATCTCTTTGATGAAATTATTCAATTGAATATTTTCTTTTTTGGTAGATTCGATTTGCTCTTGTAATGTATCGGTTGGTTTTATCATTGACTGTAACTTGGAGTTTTCTTTTTCGAATTGTTCGCATTTGAAACTTGATTTTTCAAGATTTGCTTTTAATGCAAGATTTTCTGCTTTGATTTGCTCTAATTCGTGCTTGTGTTCGATTTCTTTTACGCTAGCTTTGTGTTGTGCATCTGTTAATTCTGAATTTAACTTTTGAATTTTTTCGTTCGCAGTTTTTTGAAATTCTTCGAATTGAGTAAGCATATCATTGAGCTTTCCTTCTGTCTCCATCCCTTCGAACCTTGTTTCGCGTAGCTGTTTTTTGAGTTTTTGTATTTTTCTTAACAATCTTGGGTCAAAAAGAGGTGCTGGCTCAGGGAGTGACGATGCCGACTCAATTACTGTATTATCAGGAATCTGTTCGATATATGATACGAGTGATTCCACATCTTTAAAAACGACGTTATATTTTGAAGAAGCAGCTGTAATGATTCTGTTAATAGTATCTTGCATATTAGATAGTTCTTGTTTCTGTTGTAAAAATGTATTTTCATTTGATGATATTTGCTCGTTTAATTCTGAAATATGTTTTGCAAATTTTCGTCTTTCGCGTTCAAGCATTTCAGTGCCGCTTTTTATATCGAGTTTTACTGCGTTTTGCTTAACTTGTGATTCCTTATTTTTTACTTCTTCGAGTAATTTTAAGTTAATCGATAATCTGCAATTGAGATCGTCGATTGTTGTCTGAGCATTTCGTAAGTCATTCTGTAGTTGCCTGTTTTTCTGATATAATTCTTCATTTTTATTCTGAAAATCTAGTGTTTCTCTTAATTGGACTTTTAATGAAGCTACTTGCTGCGTCAATCTTTCATTATCTTTCATCAAACGGGACTTTATTTCATTTAGTTGCTCATTATCTGATAAATCGTCGGAAGAAGTCGAATGTTCCGGCGATTCTTGATTCATCATCCGTTTATTTTCAAAAAAAAATTATATCACATGTCTGATTTTAAAATTTTCTTAAATTAAATCATAAACCAACTACAAAAAGCTTCAAATTACAATAATTGTTTAATGAGTTTTGTGTTTAAAAAGAAAATTATTGAGATTCTTTTTCCTTCTTGAAGAATAGGAACCTGTAGAGCACTTGCCTGGAATCAGCGTCTCATAAGCCCCTATTCCTATTCAAAAGTGAATGAGTATCATGAAGCATATCTCGAACCAAGACGTCTGACATTTACTGTCGAAATGATTTGAAAGATAAATCACAAAGAGAGTATTTCGTAATTCATGCAAGAAGACTCATTATGATATGGTTACTATTCCCAGCATTCGTTCACAAGTCTTCGAAACATTATTCTCAAAGACTTAAATGTCTCAGGATTATGGCTTTGGAATTGAATGTATCATTCATCTGTCTGTGTTGCAACACTTGTATGAAGGATATGATAATACTTCAGGCGAAACTTGATTGGAACGTTAAAATGACGCATAACTGGCTCAATTGCTTCAGTTCCAACATTGTTAACGAGCTCTGGAGGATTATTCAGTATCTTGTGATCATCTGAAAACAGAATTACGTTTAGCGTGTTGTCCCTAACTGTCCATTTCTTGATTTCACTCTTTTCTCGTTGAAATATAGGAACCATTGAGTACAATTCTTGCTCAACTGGGCCACCTTGAGGATGTGCAATGAATCCAATCTGTTGCAAAGAACCATTGATGGAAGATTTGCATTTACCTAACAGCAACCGAAATTGTTGTATGTGAATGGCAATTCCCTTTGAAAGAAACAGAATTCCACAAACAAGACCTCGTTTCCAGTCATCTTTATCGCCACGCTGAACAAAGTCATGAATTGTTCTAAGTCTGCGTATGAAGGCATCGTGTCTCTCGCCCTTTTTGGACTTACGTATCTCGTCATAGAAATTTTTGCGTAATGTAACATAGTCATCAAGATCTGCTTGTGAAATTAAATCCCAGTGCAAAGGCAAATTGTCTATTAGTGGAAAATCGAAGTCTTGGAACACATTATTGACAGCACGCCGTGCAAAACTGCGCTCAAATGTCATAGATTTCACTGAAAAAATGATTTTTGTGTTTGAAAACAAAGATTTTTAGAAAAGTTGAGCCGAAAAATATTTTTGTTAGCATATTGTGTGTATGTTTTTCTTGTTTTTACAATAAAATTTTTGACACTTTTGAAAATTTTGATAAAGGTATCCGATTTCAAGATATTATTTTGAAACTAAATCTTATTTGCTATAAAATGTTATAATATTCAATCCAAATGTTAAAATCTTTTGTCTCACAAAATTTGAACAAATCAATAACGAGATAATGGAACCACATATCTTATATTCTGTGAATTTAATATTGGATTTGAATGAATATTTACGGACAATCTACCCAAACAATAAATAACATTATTCAATTTTCAAAAAAAATTGAATCATTCATCTTAGCCGAATATTCAAAAACAAATATGAAAAATGATGAACCATATCTAAATTTTATATAATGCAACGTTAAACCAATAATTACATGTGTCATCAATTTTGAATAAAAAAATTAATACCTAGAATTTCAAAAAAGAAAGGATGAAACGATTTAACTCTTACAATGATTCGCATTTCACTACTTGAAAATGCTAACATCCAAAATTGCATTGCTCAAATCTAGAAATTTTTTGAATTCTTTTGATGGAATTAAAAACGTAAGTGAATTAAGAATAATCAAAAAAAGAAGCTAGAAAGATTTACTCGCAGCGCTTAAGGATTTCCTTGGAAACCTCGAGGAGTTCCTGGGAAACGTGGCCGATCTTGTTGATGAGGTAGTCATCGTTAGCAGCAACCTGGGCCTTGATCTTCTCCTTATCCTGGTGCATGACTTCCTCGAACTGTTCCTTTGTGAAGTTGAGGCCTTCCCAATCGATATCCTCGTACTCTGGGACGTAGCCGAGTGGAGAGATGTGCTCTGGGGCCTTGCCGTAGAGTCTGTTGACCATCCAGCCAAGGACACGAGCGTTCTGGCCGAAGCCTGGCCAAAGGAACTTGCCAGCTGGGGACTTGCGGAACCAGTTGACGTGGAAGACAAGTGGTGTCTTGGCGAGCTTGGCCATCTCGAGGTAGTGCTTGAAGTAGTCACCCATGTGGTAGCCGCAGAATGGAAGCATAGCGAATGGATCGCGGCGGAGGGCGCCAACCTGGCCTTCAGCAGCAGCTGTCTGTTCAGAGCCGACTGTAGCACCAAGGTAAACACCGTGAGCCCATGATGTGGCCTGGAAGACGAGTGGGATATCGTTCATGCGGCGGCCACCATAGACGAAGATGGAGACTGGAACACCGGCTGGGTTCTCCCATTCTGGGTCAATGCATGGGCAGTTAGCAGCTGGAGCAGCGAAGCGGGAGTTTGGATGTGATGAGACACGGCCGCAGTCTGGTGTCCAGTCCTTGTTCTGCCAGTCGATAAGGTGCTTTGGCTTCTCCTCTGTCATGCCCTCCCACCAGATGTCGCCATCGTCTGTAAGAGCGACGTTTGTGAAGATTGTGTTACGAGCGCAGGAGAGAAGAGCGTTTGGATTTGTGCTCATGGCTGTGCCTGGGGCAACACCGAAGAAACCGTTTTCTGGGTTGATAGCGCGGAGTTCGCCATCCTTGTTTGGCTTGATCCATGCGATATCATCACCGACTGTTGTGACTTCCCAGCCTTTCTTGCGGAGTTCCTCTGGTGGGATCAACATGGCGAAGTTTGTCTTGCCGCAAGCTGATGGGAAGGCAGCTGTGACGAATGTCTTCTTGCCTTCTGGGTTCTTGACGCCAAGAATAAGCATGTGCTCAGCGAGCCAGCCTTCCTTGCGGGCGAGGTTGGAGCCGATACGGAGAGCGAAGCACTTCTTGCCGAGGAGAGCGTTGCCACCATAGCCTGAGCCATAGGACCAGATTGTCTGCTCTTCTGGGTAGTGTGTGATGTATGTGTTCTCTGGGTCGCATGGCCATGCAACATCCTGGCGGCCGTCCTTGAGTGGGTAACCAACGGAGTGGACGCATGGGATGAAGTCGCCATCCTCACCAATGCACTCGAGAACCTTTGTGGAAACACGTGTCATGATTCTCATTGAGACAACGACGTATGGAGAGTCGGAGATTTCGATACCGTTCTTGCCGATGGAGGAGCCGATTGGACCCATGGAGAATGGAATGACGTACATTGTACGGCCTTCCATGCAGCCGGCGTAGAGACCACGGAGCTTCTTCTTCATGACTTCTGGGTCTTCCCAGTTGTTTGTTGGTCCAGCATCTTCCTTGTTCTTGGAGCAGATGAATGTGCGGGACTCGACACGAGCAACATCGCGTGGGTCGGAGTGGTAGAGGTAGCAGCCTGGGCGCTTCTCTTGGTTAAGCTTGATTGCCATCTTGGAGTCAACCATTTGCTTGAAAAGCATGTCTGCTTGTTCCTGGGAGCCATCAATCCACATGACATCCTTTGGCTTGCAGAGGGCGACGAACTCGTCGACAAAGGCCTGAACTTTCTTGCTCTTGTTGAATGCTTGAGCCATTAGAAAAAGTGAAGTGAAAATACTATGTCAAATTTTCAGACCAGTGATTGGTCGAAGTTTGTTCTCAATTGTTTATTTTTTCAAATGGATAATTTTTCATCCATAGAGCAATGTGAGAGGATTCAAAAAATCCTAAATGTTGTTTCAGCATTGTAATTTTTCAGAGGAAAAACTCCCAAAAGTGATTTTTTTGTCTATTTTTCTGAGTGCTTTCAATCTCATCGTTCTGTAATCACTAAGTGTTTCGAATGAAGTGATTTTTCTTTTACCAATGAGTACCCTATGTTATAGCTTTGAAGAAATTAATGTCATCAGGCTCGATATATGATATCATTATTCCAGAAATAGCAACAAACTTCCATGATTTGAGGACTGCGAATAAGAACTAGGGCTGTTTACAGAAATTTTATTCAAAACTCATGCAACCAATAATATCCCAAGCGAAGAATATGGAAGAAATTGACTTTGAAAAATTGTTGTTCAATCATATGTTGCCAATAATCAATTTTTCTAGAATTCTTTGTGAATAGGTAGAATATTAATGAAAAATATGATCATTATGTTCCCTAACTCTTCAAATTGAATTCAGATTTTTACGATATTGCTGAAAACCTCTCTACAAATGCTACTTAAAGCACTAATTAACGGGAAATAGTGCGATAAGCTATTATTTTAAAACACAAAATTTGTTTAATTTAATATCCCATTATAGGTTTTTTGTTAAATTTTATGATATTCTAAGTATGGAGTAATGTAATCGGCAATATAAAATGAAGCAACTTCGATGTAATATCATTCACAATTAAATTGAACTAAATTAATAAATTGCTATAGGATTTGCATATTTTCACTGTGAAGTATTTCTATAAATTTGTGCCTATTTTAGAATATGCGCCATTTTTAGAGAAAAATCATCAAAAAAAGTTAAGCTTCCCACTAATATAATGAAAGTGAAAGATATTAGGCATGTGAGAATAAGATAATTCTATTTATTGTGAATCTTGACGATAATTCAATAATCAAATTACTAAAGATATAAAGTATGGTCTTTTTTTGTAGCTTAATGGAATATTTATATAAAATATTAACATATCTCTTTGTTCCTTTTTCATAATTCCTATTTGATTCTTCCAAAAAAAATTCAAAATCGAAAAAATAATGAAAAAAATTATAATTCAGACAATGAATTTTTCCCAAATGTACAAAAAGATCTCTAAATTATCGAACATACTACGTGACGTTAGGGCTGTTCTGCGTTCACATTTGCATATTCCTCACTGTGGGCCAAAATTCTTCGGAAATTTCCGAAAAACGTCAAATCCAAAAAATATCATTGATTGATTAATTTTAATCATTTTCTAAAAAATCCAGCTCATTCAACAAAAATACAAAACCGCTTTCAAAAATTTACAAAAGTAAATATGGGAAACGAAGCAAGTCAATGCGATCCCTCCCTTATTCTCAATACTAGTTCAAGGCAATTTTTCGAAAATGTTCAGTCAATTCTCTCATCACCTCAAGAAAACTCTTCAAAAGCTAAATTAATTGGTAAATTAGCCCGTATAATGTATGATTCTTTAAAGCATACTCCGGCAGAAGAAAAGGAGTTCAGTTTAATTATTACTGGTCAAAATATTGGCCCCACATTTTTTGATTGTTTGTGGCCAAAACTAAATATACCAGCAAACCTGACTAAAATTTCATTCCGCAACAGTGGATTAAAGAAGGTTCACTGCCCGAAAATTGCACTTCTTCTTACAAATGTTCCAACGTTAAGGCAGCTCGATGCAAGCGAAAATGACTTTGGAGACTCTGCAGTTTGCATCATCAAGGCAGCAACAGGCCATCCAAACCTTGTTTCATTACAGTTGGAAGAATGCAAACTTACAGATTCAATTTCAAACGAACTTATCGATTTATTAAATTACAATCGCAAACTTGAGACACTCAGAATAGCTCCATTCAAATTAACAGGTCCAACCGGCAACAAAATCAAGACAGCAGCCCTGAATAACCAACATTTAACAAATATTTCGATAAACCAAATGATCGATCCCACGACAGCAGCAGTTTCGGATCGTAACAATTTCATTTTCGAGTTCGTAGATTCCATCGCTCGCTCTCCATACCAACGCCAATTCCGTACAAAGATTGATGCTTTCAAATCTGTTAAAGGCCGTGAGATGCTTATGGGCAGAGCTAAGCAGAAAGAGACTGCCCGAGGCACAGACCTCTTTACCCGTCTCGAACAAGTCGATGAACGCGCTCGTACAAAAGAATCCAACGAATCCGTTGAAAAAACCGACAAATTACGTAGCGGCCATGCCGAGACAATCGGTCGCCGTCCTGCGATGGAAGATGTTTCCATCATTCTTCCGAATATGCCAACCGCCGATTCCTCTCTCTTCGGCGTTTTCGATGGCCATGGTGGCAGAGAGGCCGCCGAGTTCGCCTCTCAGCAGCTGCCGAAGTCTATTGCCGAATACCTCAAGCGCGGCGACTCCCCGGCCGACGCCTACAAGCAGGCATTCCAGAAGACACAAATGGACATGCGCCCGTGGTGCGTCTACGTCGGCTCCACCTGCTGCCTCGCACAGATCTCATCCACGACGATCACGGTCGCAAATATCGGAGACACGAGGGCTGTTTTGTGCAGGGATGGAAAAGCTCTCAGGCTGTCCGTCGACCACAAACCGTACTTGCCGGAGGAGCAGAACTACGTGGAGAGCAGAGGTGGATTCGTGAGAGACGGAAGAGTCGGTGGAATGCTCGCTGTGTCTAGAGCGTTCGGTGATGGATTCCTGGGTGATTCTATAAATCCAGTTCCGCATTTCGTTGAAGAGAAACTGACACCAGCGGATCAGTTCTTGATAATCGCATGCGATGGAGTTTGGGATGTGATTCCTGACCAGAAGGCTTGCGATATTGTGCTCGGCGAAATCGATCCTTTGTCAGCAGCAAAAAAGCTAAGAGATACTGCGTTTGAACTAGAGTCTTCTGATAATATTTCAGTTATTGTTGTTTCTTTCTCCGAACTTCAAGCTAGTCGCGAATAATTCTTTATATTTTTTTTATAAATTTATTTATTTTAATTTTCTTTATTTTTATATACTACATCAAACTCTTTTCAGAGATGTGGATGAAAAACGAGTTCCTCACTTTTGGATTGATGCAAAGTATTGATGCCACTTGAGAATTTCTTCGGTATGACTCATACATTTTTTTCAGAGATATTGGATATCATTTTACTGAATACTTTCGAATTCGTTCTCATATTTAACACTGTAGCTTTCAAGTGAGAGTTACCATATATTATTTAAGGCATTATCTTCATACTTTGCTCAGCCAAATTGAAGTATTATTAATTATATATGTTCATTTTGATGGGATTTTCATATAAAAACACATAATGAGGATGAAGGAGATCTATTAACATATATCATGACAACTTATGAATATATCAATTCGTTAATAAATATATTGATACTTCTAGATTAGATTATTTTTGAATTTATATATTATTTTTGAAAGAATTTCAATAGACAACTGCAAACACGCATTATAACTGATATCATGTATAAATATTTGCACTATGACTTCGTTGTTAAACTCAATATGATTAATTTGAGTTTTTGAAGTAGATTGGATAAATATATATACATTAATACATCATTTCCTATACTTATTATGACTATTAGGTTCTTGTGTCATAGAAGAAGTTCAATTTTTGCTGGTTTTTTGATTTCGATATTTTACAAAAAGGCATCATTTTCCAAAATTGTATGATAAATCCATGAATCACATCAAATTCAATCATTTTATCCACTCCATAAGCAAAATCAGTTACATCACCCATCCTAAATCATCTGACCACTTATCTTTCTGACAATACCAAACCCATAATAATACCATACATGGACTTGTTTTTCGAAATTCAATGTAATTTTCCAAAAGAAAAAAATTATCGCGATGTGACTGTATTTCATAGTTTGAAAAACGATTTAAATTCCCGATCAAATTTAAGGAATGATCGATTTTTTTCATTCTATGGACCACTTATAAATTGAAAGCAAACCGTTAAATTTTGGCCGAGCATTTTAAATTATGGCATCTGTTATTGCAGTCGATCTTGGTAATCAGAACTGCGTTATCGCCCTTCCACAGAATGGTGGTGTAGATATTGCTAATAACCAGTCCTCTCAGCGCCTTACACCAACAATGGTCGCAATCGATAATGACCGCAGATACGCTGGTGAGTTTGCAAAGACACAGCAAATGCAGAACGTCAAAGGCACAATCACAAACTTAAAGCGTCTTATCGGTTTAAAGTATGATGATCCAGAACGCGAAGTCGTTGAGAAGCTTACACAACTCAAGCTCGTTAAGTTAGATAATGGTTATATTGGTGTTGAACTCACATACGGTGACAAGCCAATGGTTCTCCGTATTGAGCAGCTCCTCGCCCTCATGTTCAAGGAAGTCCTTAAGATTTCTAAATTAAATGGTTCCACATCCAATGAAGTTGTCGTCGTCGTTTCTCCATGGTGGGGTGAGAGCCAGCGTCGTGTTATTCTCGATGCTGCTAAGATCTCCGGCGTCAAAATCATGAAATTGCTCAACTCAACAACAGCTCAGGCTATCTGCTACTCCATGTACCACCGTTCAAAGCTCCCAGCCGAGAAGGAAAAGGCAGTCCCAGTCGCTTTCATCGATTTCGGTGACTCGTCCCTCAATGTCTCCATCGCTCAGCTTCACCAGGGCGCAGTTGACATCAAGTCATTCGCTTGCGACGAGCACTTCGGTGGTGCCCACTTCACAGAGGCTCTCCAAGAGTTGTTGCTTGATATGACAATGAAGAAGTACAAGATCGATCCACGCACAAACCAGCGTGCTATGATCCGCTTCAACACAGCCGTAGAGCGCGCCAAGAAGGTTCTCTCCGTTAACCCAGTCGTCAGGTTCGAAGTCCAGTGCCTCATGAACGACATGGACGTTCGCTTCGACTTCAAGAGAGAGGACTTCGAAGCCAAGATCGCTGACCTCGTCAAGCGCCTCGACGAGCCAATCAACAAGGCCCTCGAACTCGCCGGCGTCAAGAAGGAAGACTTGTTCGCCATCGAAGTCCACGGCGGTGCATCTAGAGTTGCCGCAGTCAAGGCCCACATCAAGGAGATCTTCGGCAGAGACCCAACACAGTCACTCAACCCAGATGAGTGCTTCGCCACGGGTGCTGGCTTCCAGGCCGCCATCCTCTCTCCAAAGTACAGAGTCAACTTGAACGTCAACGATGTAGCTCCACACAAAGTCATGATCGAGTACACTGACGCTGACGGAAACAAGAACAACAAGGTTCTCTTCAAGCAGTTCAACAAAGTTCCATCAACAAAGGAAGTCCCAATCAAAGTCGCAAGAAAGACATCAGTCCGCATCTACACAGACGAGTGCGATCTCGGCAACCTCGAAATCGACACAGGAAAGGATGAACCAGACACAGTCTACGTCCTCATCAGAATGACACCAGACTCAGTCGTCGATGTCAAGGAGGCCAATGTCGTTGTCACAGAGCAGATCGAGATCAAGGAAGAGAAGAAGCCAGAGCCAAAGAAGGAGGAGAAGAAGGAGGAGAAGAAGGAAGAAAAGAAGGAGGAGAAGAAGCCAGAGGAAGAGAAGAAGGAAGGCGAAGAAAAGAAGCCAGAAGAGAAGAAGGAAGAAGCTCCAAAGGCCGAAGAGAAGAAGGAAGAGGAGAAGAAGCCAGAAGAGGAAAACACGGAAGAGAAGAAGGAGGAAGAAAAGAAGCCAGAAGAGCCAAAGTTCAAGACAGTCAAGAAGAACATCCCAGTCACATTCAAGTACACTCCAACATTCGGATTGTCCGACAAAGTCATCGAGGAACTTAAGAAGATCGAAATAGAAATGGAGAAGAAGGACATCCTCGAGGAAAAGATCGATAACACAAAGAACGATCTCGAATCATACATCTTCAGAATGATGAATGGAATGGACCGCGACTTCCCAGAGTACTTCGATCCAAAGACAAAGGATGCAGACCGTGCAAAGGTCGATGAAGTCCAGAACTGGTTCTCTGAGAACGAGTTCGACAGACTCCCACTCGCAGAATACGAGAAGCAGATCGGAATCCTCCACGCTTTCGGTGAACCAGCCCTCAGACGCAAGGACCTCTTCGCCGGTGTCCACAACATCGTCTCAACATTCCAGTTCAGAAAGGAGGCTGCAATCAGAAGACTCGACCAGAAGGACGAGAAGTTCAACCACATCACAGAGGAAGAGCGCAAGCCAATCCGCGACGAACTCAACGCTTACGGAGAGTGGCTCAAGACAAAGCAGACAGAATGCGAGGCCGCTCCAAAGCACATCGACCCACCGCTCACAACAAACGCTGCTGAAGTCCGCATCGCAAACTTAGAGGAGAAGGTCCAGAAGCTCCTTTGCAAGCCAAAGCCAAAGCCAGAACCAAAGAAGGAGGAAGAAAAGAAGGACGAGAAGAAGGAGGAAAAGAAGGAAGGTGAAGAGAAGAAGGAAGGCGAGGAAAAGAAGGAGGAAGCTCCAAAGGCTGAAGAAAAGAAGGAAGAGGAAAAGAAGCCAGAAGAGCCAAAGAAGGAAGAAGAAAAGAAGGAGTAAGATTTTTTAGATCAATTTTTTTATTTTATCTTGAACAAATGTTTTAATTTTTAGGAAAGTGTTCTCTCAAATAAATTAAAAAGATTTTTACTATTTTCAAACTTAAAATACATATTTTTTACAAAAAAATATTTCCAATTTTTATGAGAAATATTATAAATCACTTTTAGTGTTTAGTAGATTTACTCGAAACCAATGTTAAATCAGTTTTTTGTTCATCATTTTCCATTATGAACGGAAATCCTAGTCGCACTTATGAATATTATAAACAACATGACGACAATGATACACCTAAAACCATTTCTCAGGATATAGCGACTGCACCTTGGTATACATCAGGAGGCGAAGATGGTTTAGACCATTTAAGAATTTCTTCATTTGCTCAGCAAGTACAAACAGATCGAAACGTTGGCATTAAACACGGATATACATCGAAAAAAGTCTCAAAATGGAAGCCAGGATGCTGTAAAAATTGTGGATCTGATCAACATACAGAAAAAGACTGCCCAGAAAGGCCAAGAAAAGTAAACGCAATTGTACGTGGTGAAGGAATATACTCTGGAAAGAAAGTTTATCAGCAAGCATTAAGTTACGAAGCGAAAAGAGATAATTACGCGAATTACAGTGGCAGTAGATGGCTTGTTGACTCAAAACAGGCTTCGCTATACAAAGCCAAGATCCTAGCGCAGTCAACCGATGTAAATGACAAAGTTGAAATTCGAGCCACATTTGGGTCGAGATCCAGCCGAAATAGACAAGATACAGCTGACTACATTAAGAATATAGATAATGACACACCGGATGTTCTCAAGGAAGACTCCAAATTCGTTGGACCAGAAGAAGGAAAAAGCGAAAAACAGGAAGTCGATGTAAAATTTTCCTGGGAAGAAGGAGCTGTTAAACCAAAGAAGGTGACGAAGGATTTGACCGAAGAGGCTATGAAACAGTCGCAGAGGGAGTTCATGGAAAGGAAGAAGCTGATGTCGACCCTGATCCAGCAGAACGAAGAGAAAGAAGAAGAAATTCCAAAGAGCGAAAGATACGGAAACATGGAAGACGTCTTTGTCAACGGACACACTTCTGTCTGGGGCTCCTTCTTCTGCGCGGGACAGTGGGGCTACGCATGCTGCAAACAGACAGACAGAAACTCTATTTGTACAGCTCAGAAAGACTGAATAAAAATATATTTTGTTTGTTTTTTTCTTTTATATAAAAATAAATTTGTTATAGTTTAAGATAAAAACAAATCATTTTATTTTGTCTTATTATAAAAATGAAATTTTCAATCAACACCATTGAAAAGTGGATGTTTGAGAGCATCTCTAGCCGTGATTCTCTTCTTTGGATCAATTGTCAGCATCTTTCCAATCAAATCCATCACGTCTTTTGTGATGAGTTGTTCTGTTCCAGGCATTGCGAGTTCGAACAAGTCGCTGTCTCCAGGTTCGATCTTTATTCCCTTTGACTTCAGATATGGAGCCAACTGCTTTCCGAAGTATCTATTCATGAATTCTCTTGAGTCTCTGTCATCCTTTGGCAAGTAGTTGCCCTTGATGCCGAGAACAAGATCAAGACATGTGATGCCAAGCGACCAAATATCAACGCCACAATCCCAGTGGTTTCTGTCAACGAGGAATTCTGGTGGCTGGATCCTGAACATGCCGCCTTTGAGCTTGTAGTGCTTCTCTGGTCGGTAGAAGGCGGCTAGGCCAAAGTCAATTAATGTGAGACTCTTGTTTTCGAGATCAAAAAGGATATTTCCGATGTTCATGTCGTTGTGGATGACTCCACGTGCGTGAATGTCCTTAAGAATTGTAAGGGTGTGCTTGAGGAACCACTTGAAATTGGGCAAGGACATGTTAAGGTAGTCTTCGTTTTTGGATTGATGATAGGAGTAGACAACGGAAGGATGTTCGTAGTTTCCGGTAAGTCCTAAAATATGGACTACATTTGGTGTATCATTGAGGGCACGTAATGTCTGCATTTCACGGATTAAACTCTTCCTGTCGAAGATTTTGAACTTTTTAACAGCAACAGTGGTTCCATTTAGAGTTTCTCTCTTGCGGACGATAGAGAAAAAGCCCTTTCCTATATAGTTGTTTGAATCTTTGAACTCCCATTTCGTAAAACGATATGGATAAGTGGTGAAATTAAAGTATGAGTTGTCGTATAAGGTACCAGCAGAAACACAGGCTGGCTGTTTAAGAAAATTGCCGATGAAACACTGCGAAAACAAGAAAAACATTTGAATTTGACGAAAGTTTCTGTGTCAATATGTCAGATTGTCAGATCGTTTGACATGGTTTAAAATTCCGAAATAGCAAAATCACATTTTAAATCAGCTTGTTAAACTACATGTTGAATCTGATAAACATTCAAAATTTCAAAAATTCCCAAGAAAAAAAAAGGCTTTTATGAAATAAATTATAAAATCTGGCCATTATTGACATCTTATTGCATCTCTTTTGTTCTCATACTTTTATTTCATTTTTATTTAGAATCAAATTTATCAAAATCTAATTAGATGAGTTTCCCAACCAATGAATGCTTAAACGTTGTTGATGAAATCCTTAAATACAGCATTTCAGCAATGTTTGCAAATCCAGTTGATCCAGTTCGCGATAATTGTCCAAATTATTTGGAATTAATCAAAGAACCAATGGATCTTGGGACAGTCAAAAAGCGTCTTCAGTCTAATTATTATAAAACCGTCAATGATTGGAAACATGATATGGAACTTATCTGGACAAATTCCTATACTTTTAATAAAGTTAACACAGTGCTTGGTTTAATAACAAAAGAATTACAGGACAAATATACACAGCTCTCTGAGTACATAAATGACGATGTAGATATGACTTGGAGAACAAAATTATATTGTTTAAATCGAGATCTTAATGAAATACTAAAAGAAGCCCCGAAAATACACGGATATAAGAAAAAGAAAGGATATAAACGCGATGATTTATGGAATAATAGTACAAATGATTCCACCGAAGTTTCGAATAGTAATTATCCAATGACACACGATGAAATTATTAGCTTAGCTGATGACATAAAGAAAATACAGACAAATTCGCAAAAAATGATTATTATGAATATGCTTAAAAAATTAGAGCCTGCAATGATATTAGATCCAGATCATATTGATATTGATCTTTGTTGCCTCCAAACATCTACTTTACACGCGTTGAGATCAAAATTAGATGATTTTATTGAGAATTAATCCTATAAATGTTTATTTTGTATTGTTTTTAATCGCAGCCCACTTTTTTCTGAGAAAAACATTGATTTTAATAATAGATATCTTTATAAATAAATAAACAAAATAATATATATATATTAGCAATAAATCATTATTTGCTACCTCACTTTGTCTCGTTAGATTTGAAATAATCTTTATATAGTGGGTTTTGCGTTTCTTGTTGAATTTGAGTCTTCAAATCCTGGAGTTTATTAATTGCAATGGTTTGGCGATTAATTTCTTGTTCGAATGCGTTAACAATCTCTTCTAATTCATGGACAGATCTGATATTTTCATTAGAGGCCGTATCTGCTGGTAAACCAGAAATGGCGATAGTAATATTCTGAAGTTTTGCTAATATTTCTGAATATTTTTCAATAAGAACCCTTTCAGTCTCATAAGATGGCGTCAGACTTTTATATTTCTTGATTTTATTTTCAATATTTTGGAGTTGTGCAGCCTTTTCATCCAAATTCTGTGACCATTTATCATAATCGTTGTTCTTTTTGTCAAGTTCCTCATTGAGTTGTAATAATTTTTGGATATTGGGATTAGCCATAGTTAAAACAATAAACGTGACAGTCTTTGTCACTTTTATATTTTTTTTTGGCGCCAAAAAATATGCAAAGTCATACAAATGGTTCAGGAACACATGTTCTTCACCCTGTAGCGCCAGCTCCAATAAGTAACCCACTTCCAACACCAGTAATTCAAGCAAGACATCAGCAAAGTCAGTTAGATGAAATTTTGAACCAAGCGTCTTCACCAAATCCATCAAATATCAGTCTTTTGTCACGTGGATTGCAGCTTTTGTCTATTAACCAGCTACGCCAGCTTCTTAGAGAATATTCGTTCCCTACAGGCGGAAATAAAAGAGCTCTTGTACAGCGCTTAATCATGTTTTTAGAAACAATCGGTCCAAATCAACAAAATTTATTAGTTCAATTCTCTCTCAAGCTCAAAAAACTTTTATCTATTGAGTCGCCATCGGGAGAAGATCAACAGCATAACGAAGCACCTACGTCATTACTCCCTCCAGAAATATCGGACAAACTTGTGCAGCATCCACCTTCGATTTTGTTCGATATAACAGACAAACAACCAATTTATGGGCCTTCAATGCTTCAACCAAACTTCCCAAGTGAACTTCAAGAGATACCTAATGGTGGATATAATGGATATGTGCCAATTTTTCAAATTGCATCAGTTTTTCAGGATCATCCAATCAAAAAAGTTCTTTTGTTTATAAACGAACAATATGTTACATTGCAAGAACCAAGGTTTTGGTTCCAATTACCAACAATGTCTAATAAAAGCATTAGTTTCTCAGTGCAGTCAGTTGAACCAGCAAATTATCCAATTATTATAGTTGTAAGGCTTCTAAAGAAAACACCAATATCAACGTTAATTGAAAAAGTTCTAGAAAAGGGTCCTCCACCAAGTATTCATTCAGAAGTTCCACTAAGAGGAATTTGTCCATTAACTCATAAGATCCTCCAACAACCAGCAAGAGGAGTTAACTGCTCTCATGCCGAGTGCTTTGATCTATCTGGATATATTTCATTTGCTTCAAAATTGGATACTTGGATTTGCCCAATTTGCAATTCTGAATGCCAGTTCGAGGATTTACGCGTTGACCCAGAATATCTTGCACATGTTGGTGATCAGTAATTCTCTCAAAAATAATTTCTATCTAAATTCTTTCTTAAACATGTTGTTTTCTTTATTATCTAATAGAATTTTTACTTTCAAGCTTCATCACACCTATGTCATAATTCTTTCTTTACATGTTGCTACAATATTTTTAATTTGCAACATTCAAATCTACAAATAAACACATTTATCAAAGGGGTATTAATACCCATATTGAATTCCCGGTTGATAGATAAAAAAACAACAGTCTATTGACTTTTTTTGAAAAAAAAACATGACAAATTTTTGAATACAATAAAAACAACTTTCACAAAAATAACAATGACCAAAATTATTATTGTTATTTTTCAATTCAATTATTTTACAAAAAAGAGCGGTTTTTATTTATGAGTGGAAATCTACCCTTCAGGCGTGATGATCTCCATATTCTCGCCGTTGATGACGATGCAGTACAATTACATGCCGTCACCAAGGCTCTTAAGAGCTTAGGCTATCATGTCTCAAACGCAAGCAACGGACAAGAAGCGCTTGAAGTTCTCAAGTCAGGGAACACTTTTGATCTCATTCTGTCCGATGTCATGATGCCTGTAATGAATGGCCCTCAGTTTTTGCAAGAAACACGTGCTGACTCCAGATTCGAACAAATCCCAATTATTATGATGTCTTCAAACGATCAATATGAAATTGTTTTCGACTGCCTCTCAAAGGGTGCTGATGATTATATCATCAAACCGCTCACCCCTCAAGTCTTGAAGAACATGTACGCAAATGTCTGGCTGAAACGTAAACAGAACGCTGCTGCTGCCAAAGTTCAACACCAAAACATCGAAAAGGAAGTTATTCAAAGACGTATTAATGAAATGAAGCAGAGTTTCAATCAATCCGTCAAAACACCAATCAACGACATTACTAAATCTCTCGAAGCAATCTTACAATCAAGTGGAATGAGCCCTGATGCCTTATCCACTCTTACAGCTGCTATTAATAAGCTGAAAACAATTGATTCTGAAGGTGAAGTGATCCCTCAGCCTGTTCCAGCTGTTTCTCCAGATATGAAGGATTACCTTCAATCCAACTTCGGTGTCGGAGCTCCAAAGAAGCCAATTACTCCAATTGCCGTCAAAGCTGCCATAAAAGTCAGAGCTCCACCTCCAACAGTTCCGGTATTAACTCCACTTAACCTTGGCGACAAATTACTCGACTTACAGTTCAACATTTGGGACATTGCAGAGATCAAATTGATGAATCTTGCAAATGACCTCTTTACTCACTACGGCCTTAAGGAAATCATCAAAGCCAAGGACGGCGAGATCGAGCACTTCCTCCAAAAGACGCAGCAATCATTCAATCTCAATCCATTCCACAACTTCAGAAGATCCATCGCCGGATTACAGTTTGCGACAATGATTCTTTCGAAATACAAAGAGCGCGTTCCTCCATTCGAGGCCGCCGCCGGTCTTTTCGCCGCTCTCCTCCACGACATCGGCCATCCCGGCACAAACAACATGTTCCAGATCCGAACTTCCTCCCAACTCGCGCTCATCTACAACGACAAGAGCGTTCTCGAGATGAACAGCGCCTCTGTCGGTGCCAGACTTGTTCAGGAAGTTTTCTCCTTCTCCATTGACGACCAAGACTTCTCCACACTCCGCGCGACATTCCTCTCCAATGTCCTTGCCACAGACTACTCCAAACTGCAGAAGTTCCTTGCGAAGGCCGCGAACATAAAGATGGACTGGGAGAACAAGGAGCACCGCCAGATCGCATTGCAGCTCCTGACTCTGATGTCCGACCTCTCCTTCGCGATCAGGAACTGGAAGACAACTTCATACTGGTACGGAATGATGAGGGACGAGCACTACATACAGGGCGACATGGAGAGGAAGAGGAACATGAAGTCAATTCCTCTGATGGATAGACGCGCGAACAGGCCGAACACAGAGCTGATCAAGACACATTTCGAAATCATGGTCATGCCAGTTTTCCAGCTCGGAGCGAAAATATTCCCTGAGTTCGAGCAGCTCCTGTTGCTTCAGCTCCAGGTCAACCACGACATCATTCTGGAGATGGAGAAGGTGGAGCAGACACAGCCACAGTCAGCGCAGCAGGATGAGATCCCGATGACTCCGCCAACAACAAATCCACAGGTAATAAACCAGGTCCAGCACCAACAGCAGCAGCAGATCAGAGCTGTTCCTGTACAGAAGGCGGCTCCGGTTAGAGCTGTGCCAATTAGGGCTGTAAAGCCAATTGCAGTTGCACCACCACAACCACAACAGCCTCAACAACCTCCTCAGTAATTTTTATTTTTTTATTTTATTTTTTTTTCTTATTTTATTTTATTTATAAATTTAGGTGTTTATTTAAAAAACATTATATTGACATATCTCAAAGAATTTGAACATATATTGATACTCATATTACTTAGATAGTTGAATGTGACATTGAATGAAATGAAATTTAGTATTCAAGTTATTTTCATATCTCAATGTATTTGAACATTTTATTTAATTTTCCATCAAGAATTTAAAGTTAGATATAAAACAGTAAAAAAATAAAAGACAATAATTATAAAAAATAAAATAAATACAATATTTACATATAGAATCTCCAAAATCAATTGGGACACTCAGATACTCTTGCTTTATCCGGTGGAGCTGGTGTTGCTGTCCTTCCTCTTTCAGCTTCGATTGACATTTGGGCAAATTTGAAAACTTTGTCTCCGTACTTCTGTCTAACGTCCTCGAACCACTCGAGGAGCTCTGTCGAGAGGATATCCGATGGAACAGATTCTGCCATTGCAGATGCAGCAGCAACTTCTGGCGGTAGGTCTAAATAGCACCTAGAACATATAACAAGGCATATATCAATAACGATTTTGCTGCAAATCATCATAAATTGTTCATTTGGAATTTTTGTTTTGAGCGATTCTCTCCATTTCTCGAAATGGACGAAGGGTAGCTCTACTTGAGTGTTGAAATCAACTGCATTGAGAAGATCTATTTCGCAATGAGTTAAATCTACCATTGATTGTGGTTGTAATGCAGTAATTTCATCTGGATTAGTTCCTATGTTTTCTGTGATTTCCTTTGGGGCTATTTTCAATATTCTTGCAAGCTCGTCGTAGATATACTTGATAGGTCTGTAACAATCGCATGCTTTGCAGGCAGCAAAAAGAGAAGAAACCATTAACGTGAAGATAGTATATGGATTTTCTCCAGGGTTCTTAAAATAGTGTTGAAGAAGAATAAATGCTGTTGCAACAATTGGTGACAATTCTATTTTCAGATTCTTTCTAGATTTGACAATTATACACCACACAGCTCTTCTTTGCTCGTCACTCCATGATGTGCGCTGTATGAGGGGAAAACTGTTATCCATTTTGTATAAGTGGTCAGGGACTTTCATTCATAGTTTTATTACCACTACTGATATACTTCTTTAATTGTTTCACCAATTTGGTGTATTGATGATTGGTCAAAAATCTGACAAATTTTCGTTTTTGCTTTTTTAAATTGGGGTAAAAATACCAAACTACTCATATAGTATAACCTTGCATTTATATCAGATTGAGATGATACGTTTGAACTTTAAATTTTGGCACTTTTATAATTTGATTGATCAAAAATTTTCCGAATTTAAACTCCTTTTTTCACGATTCATAAATTCGTTTCATGATAGCAATCATTAGGGCAGATGAATGTTTAAGAGGATTCCTATAATTTTCTTTAAATTTTGGCCTTATCTTCATTTCTCTCACAATATATCTAATTAATACTCAATTTAAGCCAAAACAATTTGGATGAGGATAGTATATACTTAAAGAAAAGTTGAATATACCGATTCAATTTAAACAAGAAAATACAAAAACATGTTAACAAGTAAACATATTACATAACTAATAATATTCTTATTCTCTTCCTTCTTTTTGTTTTCATTATTATTAACTTTAGAATATCCTTCACATTGAGTATTACAAGAACGATAATGAAATGTGTTTCTCCAATATCGTTCACAATGAGATTTACAAACTGCTTCATCGTAGTATTCAAATTTACTACTTCCTGGAATTCGTAAGCAATTCTTTCTGCATTTTGACCAACTAAGGAATCTGGTACTCTTATTGATTCCATTATTGCATGTTCTAATGCAGTTTGTTACATTTAATGACATTACCTTTCTAACTTGTGAGTTTTTTTTTGAATCCGTGTTTTAACGCACGTATCTTGGCATTGTTTAAGTTTCACTGGTGAATCTACAAACAATGATTGACATTTATCTTTACAATGCGTTGAATCAAATGAAAGAGAAAGCAAGGCAATTATTAACATTGATTTGATAAAAAATTGAAAAATTTGAAAATTTTGCACAACGTTTGTCATATTGAATCAAAAGATCAATTAAATTACTGAAGACAATTCTTAAGAATAAATTATAAATGAGCGGAATTTTTGACATTACTTTCAAAATGAGAACACCATTCAAAAAGAACCATCATTCAATTTTGAATTCATAAAAATGCAAAATCTATGCTTTAATTTAATCCACTTATCTAATTTCAAATTAATATTTTACTTGTTTTTGATTTGAATCAAAATATCAAAAAGTGTCAATTTTTGATCAATCAAAGTGAGCATTTTCTCGAAATCTACATACTTCTCAAATGCAATACTTTTTTTTCAGAGTGGTACATAGTAAAAAAAAAAAAAAAAAAAAAGGTATTGGGGCTTCCAGGCACTTCGTGCCCTCTAGCCCCGAAGATGTTTAGTATAAAACCGCTTTTTAACTTCACTTAAAATGCCACGTAAGATACGTAAGAATATACGTAAGAGGAAGAGAGCATTGAAACATCCAATAGTAAGACTAACACCACAACAACAGTTGCAACAACAAATGCTGAATGACCCCACTATGTTGCAACAAATGTCAAGCAATCCTATGCTTTTAAACCGAGTCATTGGTGCACAGAGTGGAGGTTTAAGAGCGGCACTTTTAGCGAAAATGGCAGGCTATGGTGGAGCTGCAGACGGAACAGCATATAACCCTCAAAGTCAAATGAATTTGAGTTCACTCAAAAATCAAATAGCAGATGTCAAAAAGTCAAACATAGACATACAGAAGCAAATAGGTGAAAATGAAAAGAAACTAGAATATGACAGACACACAAAGAAACTCAATGAGTTAAACGTAGAGAAAAAGAAGAAAGAAGAACAACTGAAAGAACTAAGTACAGAGGAATATGCGAAAAAAGTGTCAGAAAAAGCAGCAGAAGTAGCAAAAATGGAACAAGATGTTTTAAATTTGAAAAACCATACTACTCAATATAAAGTACTGAAAGATGAAGAGATAAAACAAAAAGCCCTGAAGACATATATGGATAGCGATGAGTATAAAAAAGAAGTTGAAGCAAATGTAAAGGCAGAAAAACTTTTACAGTTGCAAAACCAAACCGTACAGTATGAAAACTTAGCACAAGAAAGTAAAAATAACGACGCAGCCATGCAAAAGGCAATGAAAAGCGCAGAATATATAAAAGCTAACAATGACTGGTTAGATGCCCAAGCCAACGCTAAAGCAGCCCAGCTTATAGGGTCAATAAGGACAAAAATACAAGCGGATGAAGACAGTTCAAATGAAGCTTTAACGAATGCTGACTTTAAGAACGCCTTCGAAGCTCTTCATAGTAAGGTGAAACAAGTGAACGACTTCTCATCTGGAAAGAAACTGAAGTCTGAAGGTTTCGACAAAGAGTTAAAAGAAGTAGCACAAAATATGACGAAAATAACAGATGCAGCAACGAGACAGGCAGTTCAAAGTGCCTATGACGCCGTTAGAGCAACTGTTGTGGAAAGTCAAGAAAAAGAGTTACAACAGACCAAAACAGACCTAGTAAATGCTTTCTTAAGAACGAAAAGTCAGGTAGGACATTACGCTGCAGATGGAACATATGTGCCAGCTGGTGGAACTTATATACCAGCTGTTGGAATTTATATACCACCAAACCCTCCAAGAGAAGCACCTGCACCAGGACTACCTAAAACATTTACATCGTCACATGGACACAGACACAGGCATGCACCAAAACCAACACAACAACCAACACAACAACCAGCACAACAACCACCTCCACAACCAGCACAGCAACCAACAGTTCAAAACCCTGCACAACAACCACCTCCACAACCAGCACCACAACCAACAGTTCAAAACCCTGCACAACAACAACCACAAACAGAGCAAGGACATAAAAGAAGTAGAGAACAAGGAAACCAAGAATTCTTAAAAAGGCTTAAGGAAGACTATGGTTACCCAGATAGTATTGACTTTAGTGACAGATATAAAGAAGCTATTAGAAAGTTCAAGGGAGGAAATACTGACCCGAACCTATTTAGCTTTATGGTTCAGCACCAAATGGGATATAATTTCAAACCTGGAAAATACAAGCTCGCTAAGGGATATGATTTAATAGCATATCATCCAAATGACATGACTGAATTTACTCCGAGATATTTGATGTCAGAGCTAAATGACAATTCAACTCCCGTCATGAAACGCGTAAAAAATAGAGACGGAACGAAAGAAGAAAGGTTTATGAGTCCGGATGACTTAGAAAGGGAAGTTGTTAAAAACGGTCTCGGAATATATGAAATGCCAGCAGATGAGGTACAAGAAACTCCACAGGAAGAACTAGTTCAGATACAACCAGACATGGAAGAAATAGTTCAGCAACAACAGCTAGAAGAGCCTGAAGGAAACGAACAAGTCCCTCCTTTGGAAACTAACTTCACAGAACTAGATGAAGATTTGGAACAGCCGAAAAATCTTGACCCTCAACAAGAGTATGCGGAGAATATGGAATATTTCCAAGAGTCTAAAAAAAATTCGGCTGACATAGTAGAAGAATATCGAAAAATGTTTGCCGACATACAAAAGACTCCAACACCAGATGAAAATATTCAGCATAGAATGGAAGTACTGAAAGAAAATGTACACAAATACAACAACCCTTTTTACTTACGAGCATTTAACGTTCAATCTTCGGATGAACTCGGTGAAGATAAAAGGTTAAATTTCAAGAAAACATATAGAAATGAAACATTGTTTAAAGTTCATTCAGAACCTAGCCAAGATGGAAACAAACCTACTTTTGTTTCTGCAGACGATGGAACTACAATGAGATGGGGTCATAAAGCTAACCCGGATAGGTGGTTCATAAACTTACAACCACAATTCCAAGAAGTTGTAGACGCAATGGAAGTCAATGGTGAACCAGATATAGCTGGTATTTTCAGCGCGGCTTTAATGCCATTGAAAGATATGAAACATGCAGATATTTTGGACCAGTATGAAATGAACATGGCTGATGGAAATATAACACCTGACGTTCTAGAACATTTATCTCAAAGAACTACACAGAACCATAGAGATGGTATATTTGGTGAAGAGTTTAGAAAGAAAGTTAGGGAGGGAGAAGGAAGAGAACCTATTGTACATGACCTTGCAAACGAAAGTTTGCAAAATGTCATAAAAACTTACTTTGCAGACAATGAACTGAGAAGGGATGAATATTTAAGAAAACTCAAATGGACAGTACCAAATGAAATGTTAGTATTGAAAAACATGTTCCTTGACAAAATAAAACCAACTACAGAAATAAACGACGCAAGACTGAAAGATTGGGTAAAAGCTTTCCCATTCACAAAAGATATAGTTGGTAACATGGAAAGAAAACCAGAATGGCTACAAAAACATATATTTGGAAACGAGCTTATTCCATATGGACGGGCACTGTTTGAAGAGCTTGAACCGGAAACTCAGGAAAGAGTCATGCAAACAATAAGCGACGACTCAAATACAAACTATGACAAACTCTTTCTAGGATATAGGTTACCTGAGATGGGCGACCAGAGCCCAAAGGCAAAAAGGACATGGGAAATTTACAACATACTAGGTGAACATGAGGCAAAGATGCAACAACTTGAAGCAGAGGGCAAGTTACCAAAGCGACACCAAAGAAGAAGAGTAGAACAAAGTGAAAGTAGTGAAGAAGTAACTTCATCTAGTGAAAGTAGTGGCAATGAAGGAAAAAGAAGAGTTAGAAACTCAGTCAGGAAGAAAGTAAAGCTTGGTCCACGCGGGTTCTATTATGACACATAAACCCAACTATTCTATATTTTTACCCATATGAAATGTACGCCGCTCAGAATATAACGCCAACAGTTTTGGATGCCATGAATGGAAATGTTTCCGAATGGTATAACGAATGCGACAATGCCATTAGAAGGTCAGAAATAGTTCCTGGAACTTACGAATATACAACTGCTGTTTCTTATGGAAACGTAGGTGAGTTTGGAGAAGGTTCTTCAACAACAGTAGATATTGCTTGCGACAGGTTTCATATAATTTCT